AGCAGGAAGGTGCCTGGGGGCTTGGTGCTCAAGATGGCCCGCTCCCTCTCCTTACTGATAAAGCCCATTATGTAACTGGAGGCAAAGAGGAGAAAGAGCAAGATTTGGGCTGAGGGTTGCCCTGCTATTGGTCTGCTGGGAGAGCAGGGGACTTGTCACACCTGCGCACCCTGCCAGACACAAGAGTTCCGACCTACCCTTCATTCCAAAGGGCCAGGATGTACTTTTTCACAAGGTCAATGATATTGTCCAGCCAGACCCAGAAGGAGAAGCCCTTGCCGGCCATGTTTTCCTGGAGAAAAGAATAATGGGAAAGCCAAGTCCACCACCATCCCAGGCTTTTCCTTCCTAGGGGTGAGGTGCCACCAAAATCCTCAGGCCCATCTAGCCTCAGGCAGGTGCTACTGGCAGCTGGACCAAGAGCCTAGGGCCTTTCAGGCCCAGCGTCCTCCACGACCTCCCAGCAGGTAAGCACCCCTCCCCCCCCATGAGGCAGCCACACGGAGTTCACACGGGTTGCTTACTTTGCAAAATTTAGCCCATGTGATCTGACACCCTGAATAGTTCACACCAGGTCCTGAAGGAAAAAAAATAATAAAGTAGTATAATTTTCAGTTTTGAATCAAGGTCTTATTTCTTCAAACAGAACACGTGCACAACTGCCCCACGACAGGCCCTGAAACCGTTGGTTTTCATGTATTTGAATGTTGCCACTGTTGTGTGCATATGGTGCACCCATCCGCCCCACACCCGACCCCATCATTTGACACCCCCACCCCACCCCAGTTGTTGTTTAGCCCAGCTGCCCTTACTAGCCTCGTGTGGTGGTCCGGGGACCAGCAGCACACACTAAGAAGCTGACAGCTTGAGTTACAGGGTCACATTTGGTGGCAGCATAGGACAAAGCATAGGTAGCACGCAAAACATTCTACTAAGGCTTTTTTTCCAGGGAGAAAATTAAAAACAAGCCTACGGTTTCTTGAAGAAACAGACAGGGATACCAAGCCTTTAGCTCTAACACGCACTTAAAATATCTTCCGATGGTTGGATAAAGTAGTACCCTGGAAGGGTGAGGGAGACAGCCACCAAGAGATAAGAAATCTGCCTCCCGCCTCATAAAAACAACCCCCAATGTGCACACCTCCTCTGTATCCTGACTCCCTGACCTGCTGGAGCACATGTGTTCTGGCCCCGGCACAGCACCTTGCTCGGTAGACTCTTCTGAATGAACAGCCCCACGGGCCAGATTCCTTTTCCGAGGAGGGTGAGGGGAGAAGAGGTAAAGTGCTGACCTAAGAGTTTCTCCGCCAGTGTTGTCAACTGCTCAATGCTCAGCCCGCGCTTGGTGGTGGAGGAGAACTGCCAGCTCAGCACCTCGGCCACTTGATCCCACGTTCCAATTGGGGGCTTGGTGAAAAAGTTCACGTTCTATTGGAAATGACACATTTACTCCTTTAGATGAGAGGGTGGTGCCTGATGAGCTGCGCTAGGTACTGTGACAGCCCCGAGGCACCGAGAAGTCTCAGGAAGAACGGGGGCCCGACTCACCTTGGGGTTGTTGGTCAGCATGTTATACCACAGGATGGATGCCCAGGCATTGGGCATCTGACAGATGTTGGAGATCACCACAACTGGCAAGGAGTGGGTCTGTGGAGGGAGGGGGGAATGAGCTGGGGAGGCAGAAGGCCCTCGGGGCTTCCAAAACCTCTTCAAGCATATCCCCGCAGGGTTTGGAATAAAGGAGAGGCCGTGGTGGAGCGCACCCGCTTCCAGCCCTCAGGGAAGAGC